CGCCCCCCGATCTGCCACCGCCACCGCCGCCGCCGCCGCCGCCGCCGCCTCTGCCGCTGCCGCCGCCGCTGCCACCACCACCACCAGCCCCGCCGCTTCCTAGCAAGCTCACTGCTGCCCAAAAGCTCCCAGCCAGGGAACTCCACCAGCCTATTTATCTGAGCCCCGGGAAAGCTCCGTGACGTAGCTGCCCATATATGGACAGACAAAGCCCAGCCGAAGGGGCGCGACGTCACAATGGAAGCTCCTCACAATGGAACATTAGAAAGCAGGAAGCGGGCCGCAGCCAACGTGCGGCGCCCGCACCGCTTGCCGCTCTTAAAAAACAGAGAGAAAGAGAGAAATAGAAGGGAAGAAAGATGAAAAATGCGAGAGGAGAGAGGAAAGAAGGAATGCGCTGAGCGCAGAGCACGTAGCGTGAAGTCGAAAACCCAGGAACTGAAGTGTGTGTTTGAGGTCTGCCTTAGGACAGCGCGTTTAGGGGACGGTGGGCGGCAGGGTGGGGTTGTTTGCAAGTGGCCTCCAACACCCCCAGCAGGAAGAAAGAGTTGAAAACACCTGGCGATGTCCCTTTGCAGCCTGGGCACCGCCAGGGAGCCCGGGAGCTGCGTGTTCCCACCCTGTTCCCGCAGCGCCCCCCGCGTCCGGGACCCTACCCGAGATTAAGAAGCAAGAGAGTACTTCTTGGGGGCGGGGGGCGGCGGCTTAAACGTGTCAGGATCCCTGTGTCCAATGTCCCAAGAACTTTTGTGCCCACTTCACTTTGATTCCTCGCCCACACCCCTGCCCCTCCCTGGGCCCCTGACCCCGCGCCGACTCGGGCACCGCGCAGCAGCCCGGAGACCTGCAGCCCAGCGGTTGCGCCAGAGGCAAGAGCTCCGTTCATCTGGGGTCGAGGATGTGTGGTTTTGGTGAAAAAGAAGAAGGAATGAAGTTGAGGGGATAGAAAACACGTGCACCGAATCCCTGGTAAATTCTCTAACGGTTCTAAAGCAACCCCTTTGGCCACAGGATGGCAGGAGGGCCCAGCAGGCCCGGTGCTGTCGCTGTCTATTGCTGCCTGCGAAGGGCCCGCCGCTGAGTTGCAGCACGAGGACGCTGAACCCGCAGTCCCTGAGCCACACGGCGGCCTCCCCTAGTCTCTGCCCTCCCCCTAGCCTTCCACAGGGCTGTCCCCATTGCTGCCTGCCGGCGCTCTGCAGTCAAGGGCAGCCTGAGTGCCGACTCGGAGCGCTGTCACCTCCCTGAGCGGCAGCGGATCCCGGGGGCGGCTGATGTGTTCCCCCAGGCCTGCTCCCGGGGCGCGCGGCCCGGCCGCGGGCGAGGGGGAGGAGGGGGAGGGAGCATGGAGGTGCGACCCCAAATCACTCCGGCTTGACGGGGGAGGACTCCCTCCTTGGTGGCCGCGTGGGTGCGGTGAATCCCGCGTCCCCTGCTGCGGAGTCGGGGTGGGGGGACGTGCCTTCCTCAGGGGGAGTGGGAGTGTCGACAAGGAGGAAGAGAGGATCCCCGGGCCTCTCGCCGTGGGAGGGCCACGCGGGCCGGGACGTGTGGGAGGAACTCCCGAGCTGCACATCGTCGTGGGGGCGGATGACAACCTCGCTCCCCTCCCCTCTACCTCGCTCGGGGGAGAGCCGGGGATGGGAGGGCCCGGCCTCCCCCATCTTCTCCAGTTCTTGGGAAAGGAGGGATTCCCGCCGCCCGCGAGCCCCTCTCCCCGACCCCGCCGCCTCTCGCGCCAGGCTCCCCACTCGGTACCGGAGAGCCACAGCGCCCCCGGGCTCTCCTCCGCCCGCGCGGCGCGGGCAGGGAGCGCGCTGCAGCGGTCCCGCGCGCCGGCCGGAATCAGGGCATGCTGCGCCTCCCGCCCCCGGCTCCTTCCCTGGGGGGCGAGCGGCCGGTCGGGGGCGTGGGCGGCGGTGTGAGCCGGGCTGGGTGCGGGCGGGGCTGGGCGGCTGCAGGGAGGGTCGCCGGGCCGCGGGCCAAGCCGGGAAGAGCCATACAAGGAGCGGATCCGGTGACGCGCCGGCCGCGCCCCTTCTTCTCGATTTGGCTGCCGATTCCGGTCCCCGGATTTGCATATTTTGGCATCCAGTGGAAAAGGAAAGAAGAACGGAACCCGCAGCCTTTAAAGGAACCGCACAGGCTGTAGCGTCACCCAGGGAGGCGGTCTGGGTGGCATGAAAAATTAGCCAGCGGCTCTGGCCTCTGGCCGTAGAGCCCGGCAGCAGGGGAGGGGCGGGGAGAGGCGGCCACCAGCGAGCTGCGGCGCGCCAGTCCCAGTCCCGGCCTCTCCGGGGCGCTTCCTGCTGCGCGTGCACCCAGAGGCTGCGGGGGTCTCCGCGGGTTCCTGCCTGCGGACGGGAGGCGCCGTGCGGCCCTGGGCGAGCGGCAGGCCCCGGATTGACTGCAGTGCCCATGCCTCCCCGCTCGAGGCAGAGCTCGGGCTACGGGGGTGGTGGCAAGGAAGGGCGAGGCCTCCGGGCCGCCCAGGACCCCGCGATGAGACACCCACTTCCCCCCTGTAGGGATCTTCCCCTAGGAGGGGGATGCAGAGGGAGGGGCTAGAGACCCCCGTTCGGTAGGGGCTTGCGTTGGGAAAGGCAGAGGCAGTGAAGCATTTGGGATCCTCGAAAGCCTCCAGGGCCCCAGAGACGGTGGAGGAGTGCAGCGACTCCGGAGGTGGCCCCCAAACACTTTGAGTCTCGCTGGACTTGTTGCTGCCAAAGCACGCAGCAAGGTTTGCCGGCCTGCACCAGGGCCTGCTACAGGTTGGCAAGATTAAATAGGAGTTTTCTGGGGCAAGATGACTTCCCTCTCCTTTATACCAGTTCTTTGCATAGAATAGGAAACTTCAATTCCATTAAATATTCATTAAAGCTTCAGTGTGACCTTGGGAAAACTTATGATTTTTTTTTCTTAGCCTCAGTTTGTTTTCTTGTCTGTAAATTGGGATGATAACACAACCCTTAGAAAGAATTAGAGAATCCTCCTAGAATGCTTATGCTAGACCCCTAGCAAGCACTCAATAAACAGCGATTATTGTTACACTGCATTCTCCCCCACCCTACCATGTGTCCCGGGAGTGAATTTAGGTAATACAGGGCCAGGTCTAGAACTCCATCACACACCAGTATGATCAGATACAAGAAATGTTGATGGTTCTTATTTAGGGGGGAAAGGAAATTCCTATTTGTGTGCCCAGTACCTGCTGGGCACTGTGCCAATCTAGGGATGGTCAAGTGGTACCTGTTCTGCAGGAGCCCAGACATGAACTAAGCCCTCAACAGCTGGTGGTGACACAGAGCAGGGTACAAAGAAGTCACCCCATTGCTCTTTAATAGTCTAGAGCACCCTTTCAGATTTTGGGGGAGTCGTGGCTGTGGCTCCTGGGGTGACATGGGGGCTCCCGGTGCCTTTCTGTCTCCTCTGCCATGGGGAGGAAAACCTGCCCTGCAAGCTCAGGCCCTCCCTGCCTGGGGCCTCTTCAGGGTGCAGCCTGCACAGGTGTCCACTGTCACCCTGGATGATGGAGGCCAGGGTTCTGTGGCAGGAGGGGACAACCCTGGGTATGGAGCAGGGGTAGGGTGTTTGCAGTGAGTGGCTGCTTTGTAAATTAATAGCATTCTCCTTTCCCGTTGCCAAGCTTTGAATTCAGTATAGAAAAAAGTTTTTCTCCTTCCTTCCCTCCCTCCGTCCTGGTTTCCTCTCTCCCTCCGGAACAGGGGCTGAGGGTTTTTATCTCAGTTTTATTGATGGGCTGAGGTGAGACTGCCAAGGGCCTAATTACCTGAACTCTAAGCCCTGAACTTGCTGGGGAGCGAGTAGGCCCTGGAGACGGTGAAAGGCGGCAGGCCCCTCTGCAGCAGCGCCAAGGCCAAGGACGCCCAGCCGCTGGCTGCAGGGCTCTCCTGTGGAATCCATCTGGCCTCACCACCTGCACTTGGGGTTCTGCTCCTGCTGTGGGGGCGGGGGGTGGGGGGAGTGGGTGTGTTTGCTTTGTGAAGGCAAAGAAAGGAGGAGATGTGGCCCCCATAATCCACTGCAGAAAAAGGCAAAGTTGCAGCTCTGTCTTGGTCCTTCATGCTATAGTCCCTTCTGCCCTCTGACCTCTAGCGCCCCTTTTTGCTAAAGATATCCACTTCTTCTCTGCTGTCTTACAAGAAAGAACCCCTCAGCCCCCAAATTAATTCAACCTGGGGTGTTAGCGATTTAATGCATTGCCCTTCTCAGAGGGTATTTGCATTTGGAAAGAAAATGCCTATAGAGGGTAATAACCCAGAGGAATTAAGCCCAACACTTAGCATAATGCCTGGAGAATGGTAGGTGCTCATTCATGCTGGCGGAATGAGATCTGCTTGTGGTACATTAAGCCCAGGGACAAGGAGTGGGAGACTTGGGACCCAGAGAGTGTCTGGGTTCCTCAAATGACACGGAGCACCCATGTACAGGGCCCACTGGTGGGATCACTCCCTGAATGGCAGTTCTCGCGAGAGTCCTCAGGTGTTTTCCATTTTTTGGTGCCCCATAGGAGGCTCACAGGAGACTGACAGATCATAGCAGAATACGCCTGGCCAGCCCTCCCTGGCATTCTAGAGGTCATTGCCATTTCTCGGGTAATGACACCCAGCCCAGAGGCTATGTGAGTTTTGCCTAGAAGCTTTGGAAGGGAAATACTGTCGCCAGCCCAACAGAAGAGCGCCACAGGCTTTCTGAGGAGCTTGAGCTGCCGCCCCTGGCTGAGTCAGAGCCGAGCACCCCGCTGGGAGCTGCAGGACTCCCAGGCTGTAGTCAGGGAGGACGG